CGCGGCGGGGACGTGGAGTCCGTCGCCGACCGCCGTCGCTGCGTTCGGCGGCGGCAGAGCCGGTGGCGCGAAGCGAGGTGCCGCCCGCGATCGCCCTCTGCTGGTCCAGCAGACGTCGGGCGTGGGCGAGCGAGCGCTGCCGTGCGGCTCACCCGTGGTTCGGCAGGTCGCAAAGCAGCTCGACTTTTCCTCTGCCGGCATGCCGCCACCGAGCGAGCAGCGAGAGCCACCGGCTTGGGTTCGGCGTGCAGCAGCGGCTGGCTGGCCCGTGGACGCTGCGTCCGCCGTGCGCAGCACGCACGCTCGATCGGGGCGATCCGACAGCGAAAAGTGGTCGCCTAGCCGCAGGCTACCCTTCATGCGGCCATTGCCAGCTGCCTCCACGGCGGCATCAGACGCCGCGTCGACCAGAGTGTCTCCGCCGCTGCCGACGCCGAGTCCGACGCGAGTGACGGCGGGTGGAGCCACCGCTGGCGGCGCGCAGTCGCTCCTCTCCTCCGATGGCCCTCCCACCGCCTCTCCGCCACGGGCGCCGTGGTCTGCGCCAGCCAGGCTCGCATCGAACATGCAACCGGCAGAGGAGGAGGCGGAGGCAGACGAGGAGGAGGGCCGGATGGACTCCCTCTGCTGCAACGCGGCGTCCACCCCGCCGCGACCCGCCTCGCCCGCGGGCGCTCCCTTCGCCGCCGCGCCTCCGGCCGACTCGTCGCCGCTGCCCTTCAGCGCTCGCACGTACCCTGCCGAGGCTGCCGATGCGGTGTCGCGCAGTCCCGAGGCGAGCAGCGCGGAGCTCCACATGGCCTCGTGGGCGCGGAGGGCCGAGTGGGCGACGCGCAGGCTGCGTGGCCAGGCCCGTCGCCTCGAGGAGCTCGGTGAGCCCCGCCCTTCCCGAGCATGAGAGAGTCTAGGACCGAGAGAGAGAGAGAGAGAGAGAGAGAGAGAGAGAGAGAGAGAGAGAGAGCGAGGGAGGGAGAGACCTTTCGGTCGGGAGGTGTGCAATGCTGACTGACCAACCGCCACTCCTGGCGGCAGGCGTCTCGCCGACTCGCGCGGCCATGGCGGCGTCGGCTTTTGCAGAGGGGCGGGCATTCAACGCCGCCAACACCGCCGCCTCTCCCGCCGCCAGCCACGCCGCCGCCTCCGCCGCTGCCATCGCCGCCGTTGCCGCTGCCACCGCCGCCGCAGCCGCCGCAGTCGCGGCGGCCACCTCCGCTGCCTCCGCTGCCTCCACCGCCTCCGCCTCCGCCGCCGCATCCGTCTCCGCCGCCGCCGCCGCCTCCCACCAGCTTGTCGGCGAGGCGGTAGCGCCAGGCGCGGGCTGCTGGCTCGATGCAGAGGCGGAGCCGCCGCCTCGCGCCCCGCCGGAAGGGAGAGGGCTAGAGTCCGGGCCCGCCGTGTCCCCTGCGCGACGAGACGAGCCGGCGTGGCTGAGGCAGGCGTCCGACGTGCTCCTGCGCGGCGCAACGCCTTTGCCGCCGCCTCGGCATGTCGCGGGGGAAGGGTTGGTGCCCGCCGTCAGCCTGCCGTGTGTTGAGGTCGCATAAAGTTGGATTTTGGCTGTTGTGTCGTAAAAACACGGGTCTGAACCTCAACCTCTCATAGACAAGCAATGACAAGAGGAGGACTCATCACTCGCAACTCCAGTCTCCAGAGAGTGTTCTCGCGCGTTTTCTTGTAAATAACAAGGAACAAGGTCTGTGGCAGTCGGGAAATATTGAATATATTGCTCCAATACTTAGAGATGCGATCAATATCAATATATATTGCAATACTTAGAGGAGAGGCTGGGCCTGGGCTGGTCAGGACCGTCAGGTTGGACTCAACATGTCAATATGGGGGCCCATCCCGGGCTTGAAAATGGCTCTAAATCGTTCAAAACGGGCCCAAATCGCTTCAAAATCGCTTAAATCGCATAAAAATTGCTTTGAACTCGTGATTTTTTCGATTTCAGCCCACATCTAGGCGATGTTTGGGACAAATGTCGACATTTCTCATTTGGTGCTCTTGGAGGTTAGAATCAGCGATCAATATGTCAATATATATTGTCAATACTTAGAGGGGATGCTGTCAATAATCAATATCAATACTTAGGGCGAGAATCAATCTTTCCCGACTGCCTTACCTGTGGCGCCAGCGGGCGGGGCAGCGCGCCATATAGCAAGTATTTTCTTCTCATCAAAAAGTCACACTCTCACTGTCTCTCTCGTCGTATGCAGTTCAGGGTGTTCAGCTCGGACGTTCTTATTTATAAGCGCGGAATGGCGGAGACGAGAGACTTACGGCGTACGGGTACCCTGCCTGGTGGCTAAAAAGAAAGAAAGAAAACAGACAACCCAAGGGAGGGATGGGAGTCAGGCACTTGGAGCACTTACTTGGAGTGCAGTCCAGTCATCAGCCTCACATCCAGGGCCGGGGAACTGAGAAGCGCGCCCAGCGAGCCGGATGATCGGGATCGGGCTACGGGCTAGAGAGCCCTGACCCCTAGCTAGGGGGGTGCGCGTTCGCAGGGAGGGAGAGGGCCGTAAAGTAAACACAGGTCTCCGAGGGTTGGCTCCGTGTACCGGGTTTCCCCTTAACTTCAGAACGCCCCCTCTACTCGGAGCTAGTAGACACGCCACTGTACACCACGCACGTACACAGGTCCTCACTCAGCTTCCGTGGTCAACGGGCGTTCGACCACACCACCGGCCAAGGCTACGTCAAGTCACAGCGTGGCCACTACCAACCATGATGGGATCTTCACCAAACGCAACAAGTTCAACCTGCTTCTCCACGAGACATTCGGCGGCGGCTTCTCGCCGCCAGCAGTTGCAAAGATCAACCGCCTTGCGCGCAAGGCTCAACGCTCGGGCGTTGACCGCACCGCGTACCCTCCCCACTCCCGCCTCTCATTCATTTGTGTCACACCACGCGGAACGCATCTCCATCGCTTCGGTGAAGGGGGTGAACCGTGCCATCCTCGATCGCCGTGCAAAGCTCGCTTCCGAGCTCTCACGCCGCGCGTAGGGCCCTTAGGGGCCTAGAGAACACAACCCCCCTCTCTCTTTTCTCCCAGTAAGCTATAAGTACGTACATCTGAGAGAGACTAAAGTACATCTGGCGCCGCGGCACAGCTCCTATCATCGGCACATGGCGCTTTTTCTGCTCAGCGCCGCGCTACCAGGGCGCGGCCGCTTGCTACGGCCACGGCGCGATTTCAAGCCGTGCGTCAGCGTCTGGAATGCGACGAGCGCCGCGCAGCACGAGATGGACTTTATGCGCTGCGTCACTGGGGAGGAGGGGCCGCCGCCGCAGTTGCGTTCGGCGCTCGCACGCGAGTTGCTGCCAAACGCGTCGCAGCCGGTCAGCACTGTGGCCTCGAACCTGATGCGGGACGACGCGACGAGCTTCTGCGACTGCACGCTCGAGCTGCATGACGCGGCCAGCTGCGGCCACGCGTCGGCGCAAGCGGTGCTCGACGAGTACGAGCCGTGGTGCCTGTTCCTCGGCGCTTGCCCCGCCATCGCGAGGGCGCTGCTGCACTCGGCGCAGGCCTGCCGCGAGGCCGGGTTCCGCGCCGCCAACTGGAGCGAGCCGCTGTGCGAGGCGGCGGGCGCCAATGAATGCGCCTTCTCGGTGCAGAAGCTGTTCGAGTCGACGCACGCGGCGCACCGCTGGGCCAACGCGTCGGACGCGGACGCGGAGCGGCGCGCGGTCGAGCGGTCCCAGTACGCGCAGCTGCAGCAGAAGTGGGGCATCTTTTACCACATGGTCCCGCCGTGGATGGCGCCCGCCTCGTTCGAGGGCACCTTCGGGCAGCTGTCGAGCTGCATGGCGTCGGTGCGCGTGGAGGAGGCGCAGCTCAACCTGCCGCTCTCGCTCGGCGCGCTGTCCGGCAACCACTCGTGGCACCGGTACGACCGCTTCTTCCGCTCAAAGTGCGGCGTCGAGTACCAGCTATGGGACGAGCTGGTCGAGCAGGCAATGTCCCTCTCTGGGGGCTACTACGCCGAGGACCAGTGGGCCGCGGGGAACAAGGCGGTCGCGCTCTCGATCCTCGCCGCCAACGTGGCCATGGTCCTCCTCGCGTGCGGCATCCTGCTACGCTTTGTGCAACGCGGCCACTGCTACCGCCTCTGCAGCCCCAGCAGCGCCGAGGAGAGGGCGGGCCTCAAGGGCGGGGAGGAAGCGCGGGGGGGAAGCCAGGGAGGGGTGCAGTTCACCATCGAGCCTGAAGAGGCGCACCTCTGACCGTGTCGCACCGGGCCTATCCGATCTCGGCACATTGTAGTATTGTCCCTCGTTGGCTCTAGTGGTCTAGTGCGCCCCGCAGCTGAGACCCCGAGACGACGGAGCGCGATGCGGCCTCCCCGGCCCGTGTGCAGTGTCGTTGTGAACTTCGTTATTCGCTGTACTCGATTTTATTGTTTTCGCCGCGCGTTTAGAAATTCGCCCGCGCCTCCTCCTGCAAAAGTTATTTAGGACCACCCCCCTACCGCCGCCCAGTATGTGCTCCGCAGCTGAGTCCACGCACCCCACAGCAGCTCAGGGACACAATAAGCTCGCATACAAGTGCTGGTACGCACAGCTCGACGCGTACTCGAATGCTGCCACTGTCATTCTAGCCGGCGAGCGGCGGCGTCACAGCGTCGACTCTCGCATCGCGATGAGACGCACTGCTTGCCCAGACGCGCGCCTTTGCGCGCTCCTGTAGGGCAGGAGGAAGGCCAGCGGTCGTGCTGCGCAGGCCCGGCCGTCTGGCTGAAGGGAGCAGCAGCTGGCGCTCAACAGCAGCGCTGTCGAGCAGCGCAGCCACACCACACTCCCGCCAAGCCACGTGTCATTTCGCGCCAAGATTTGGCGCCAAAATGGCACTTTAGTGTCCACCTAGCCACGTGGTCGCGGCCTGAAGCTCCAAGCTTCTGGGACTGAGGTCCCACATCGCTGGACTCCATTTGTGTGCAGGCGGCACCCTCCCGATCGTTCGCCGATGTCCGAAACCGGGGTGGTTTCTAAATAACTTTTGCAGGAGAAGGCCGCGCGTTTAGAGAAAACGCTTCAAGCCGCCCGAACCTTTGCCCCAAGCAGGCTGTGGCAAGCGGCGGCGAGCTGCTGGCAGCCGGGGTCGACGTCATCGCGGGCGACGCTCTGCAGCCACTCCTGCAGGTCCGGCAAGCTCCCGCCGAGCTCCTGCAGCAGCACGGCGGCGGAGAGCGCCTCCGCGGCCGCCCCGAGAGCGACGAGCGTGGCCCTCCGCACGGCTGGGTGGGCGTGGTGGCGCATCTCCCACGCAAAGGCGCAGAGGGCGCGCGCCATCGGCCGGGCGCACGGGTAGGCGGCCGCGCCGCGGAGGAGGGCGGCGAGGGTGAGGAGGAGCGCCTCGAGCAAGAAGCAGTCCTCGCCCAGCATGCGGAACGTGTTTGCCGGGTCGTCGTACCGCGACATCAGCGGGAAGAAGAAGGCGGGCGCGACGACGCCGAGCCGGCTCGCCGCCGCAGCCGGCCGGGGCCGTGGCCGGCTGTGGGTGCGGCGCGAGACGCCCACCGGCTGGACCGCGCCCCTGTCCGCCCTGGCCGCCGCCTCCGCCGCGGGCGGCCGCGCGGCCGGCGGCGCCGCCAGCTCATCGGCGACGGCGCGGATGACGGCGAGCGCCTCTTGCCGCATCTCGAGGGTATGGTTGGTGCCGTACAGCTCGCCCACGAGCGGCGCGGCGAGCTCTTCGGCGCACGCGCTCACCAACGCGACGAGGGCGGCCCGGCGCCACTCGCCGAACCGCGGCAGGTTGTACTGGTTGCCGAGGTGGAGCAGCGTCCAGCAGAGCGGCTGCGCCAGCGCGCGCAGCTCGCCCATCCGGCCGGCGGACGCGGCGAGCCGCAGGAGCGGCGCAGCGCCCTCGAGGGAGGCGGCGAGGAGCTCGTGCTCCCCCTCCTTTGCGCGCAAGCCGGCCAGCAGCTCGCGCAAGTGCCGAGGCGCCGCCGTCGGCGCCAGGTCGCTCCGGTCGTCGGCGAGCCCAAACGCGACGAGCGACTCGTCGCTGCTGCTCGCCGCCTCGCTGCTCGCCGACTCGCCGCCGGCGCCACGCGCGAGGCTGGCGCCGCTCGAGCCGCTGACCGACCCGTCGCTCTCCGACGCGCCGCCCCCCCTGCCCGCCGGCGAGGCGCCCTCCCCGCCGCTCTCGCCGCTCTCGCCGCCTCCCCCCTCCGCAGGGCTGGCCGCAGCCTCTGCCGCGTCCCTCCCCCGCCAGGCGAGCGGCGCAGGCGCCAGCGGGTCCGCCTCCTCCTCGCTGCCCGAGGAGCCCGCATCGGCAGCCGCCGCCGCCTTTGCCTCCCTCCGCCGCCGCCGCCGCCGGGCCCGACGCTGCTTGCGCTCCCCCCCCTCCCCCCCCGCGAGGGAGCCAGCTACCGCGAGGGAGCCAGCCGCCGCAGGTGCCGCCGCGTGCGCGGGAGGAGACGCGAGCTTGGCGTCCGCGTCGTCCGCGTCGTCCTCGTCCTCGTCATCGAAGCAGACGGGGTTGTCCGGGTCGATGACGCGGGAGAGCGCCTCCGCCACGTCCATGCCGAGCCGCCGCACGGCCGGCGAGGGCGACTGCAGGTGGTGCTGCACGCCCTGCAGCAGCGTCGGCATCAGCTCCTCCGACACGAGCTGCACCGGCAGCCTGCCCAGCCCGAGGACGAGCGCCGCGCTCACGTACCGCTGCTGCGCGAGCGAAGTCCCGCTCGTGTGCACGCCGCCGCTCCAGGCGTCGCCCACCGCGCGCATCGCGTCGGCCAGCAAGCCCGCCCTGCCTCCGCCCGCCCTGCCTCCGCCCTCCAGTCCGCCTGCGACACGGCGGGCCGCAGGTGGGTGGCGGCGGCGGGCGCGCCCGGCGGTGCTCCCGGCGCTCGGTCTGCCGTGTTCGAGCAGCGCGATGGTGTAGGGCAGGGTCTGGTGCGGGAGCACCCGCGTGAGGAGGAGGCGCGAGGAGAGCACGAGCTGCGCCGTCGCCGACGAGGAGAGAAGCGGCGCGAGGAGCTCGCGCAGCTGCGTCTCGCGCCGCCCCTACCACCAGTGGGCGCCACGCAGTCTCCCAATGGGGCCGGGGAGGGGCGCAACCGGCTCCCCGCCCGAGCCGCGCCGGCTCGCCCTCCCGCGCCGCCGCCGCGTGCCGCAGCAGCGCCTCGAGGAGCGCCTCGACGCCGCCCGCCGGCACGCAGCCGACCACGGCGGCCACCGCGGCGGGAGAGGGCGCAGCGGGAGGGGGAGCACCGGCCGGCAGCAGGAGAGGGAGCACCTCGCGCAGCAGGCCCCGCCGGGCCACCCGGCCCACCAGCCCGCCGCACATCCGCACCCGCCCCGCCGCAAGCCCGCCGCCCGCCGGCCCGCCGCCCGCCGAGGCGCCGCCGCGCTCGCACGCGCAGAGCAGCTGGCCGATCGTCTCCGCCGCAAAGGCCTCGGGGCGCAGCCGCGCGGGTGCCGCCGCCGCGAGGGCGTTCGTCAGCCGGTCGGGAAGGCTGACGAGCAGCGAGGCGAGCTGGCCGTGCTCCTGCGGCGGGGCGGCGCGGCGTGAGGTGTGTTGCCCGCCGTCTCTCCCGTCTCTCCTCACGCCGCGGAGAATGGACCTCGTCGTCGCATGCGCCCTCGGCCTCCCCCTCCCCCTCCCAGTCGGCGAAGAGGCGCTCGGCGAAGCGGGCGGCCACCATCTCCTGCAGCAGCGCCGCGCAGAGGCCGGCGCGCCGCTCGCGTGCGAAGGCGGGGTCGAGCACCGACGCGGCGTCGTCCGAGCGGTTGCTCGGCGGCGCATCCGCCGGCTGGAGCGCCGCCGAGATGGCCTGCAGCGCGTGCCGCGGCGGAGCGCACACAAAGTGCGGGTGGAGCAGCGACCGCACCTCGGCGCGGGTGAGGGCGCCCAGCCAGTCTCGCACGAGGGCGTTGAGGAGGAGCGAGGCCCAGTTGGCGTAGTGCCGGCGCACGTACAGCGCCGACAGCGCCTCGCGCCGCTCACGCGCCGCGCCAAGCAGCAGCGCCTCTGCCTCCTCCGCCAGCCGACTCGCCTCGTCAGGCACGACGCCGCCGGTCCGCAGCGCCTCGCCGGGCCGCAGCAGGCAGAGCGTCGACGAGAGGGCGAGCAGCACCGACGCGGGCTCGCGCGCCTGGCGCAGCACGCGAGCCGCGGACGCCATGAGGGAGGCGAGGGCCTCGGGGAGGGCGGCGCCGTCCGAGGCGGCGACGTCCGAGACCGGCAAGACCGGCAACATGGCAGCAGTGAACGCGCAGCTCGCGGCGTTCGGCGTGCAACTCTGCTTCGGCGGAGGCAACTCGGCGTACTACTTGCAAGCGTCTGCAAGTCTCGAGCAGGCGATCCGCGAAGCGAGCCGGTGCTGCAGCAAGCGCAGGCAGAGGTTGCGGCTCGAGAGGGCCTCGCGCCGTTTACCGCCTCGCACCGCGGGCTGCCGGTTCTTTTGTGAGGGTGTGCCGGTGATAGTACTAGCACGCGCCAGTTCGCACCTGTGTCGAGCCTGTGTGCTGTGAGATTGTTTTGATTAAATTCTTTTGTGAGCTACCGGTAGCCTTCGACGGCGGTGTGTGTGTCTGTTGTGTCGGCGGTACGTCTTCGGTCCCCGCGGGAAGCCCCGCGCATAGGACAACAGCGTCTGTCCCACACACGCACAGACGCGCACATACATCATGCTCGGGCACCCCCCACAGTGTAGTGGTTTGAGCACACACACACAAGTACAGCAAGCGGAGTGCACACCTGTGCCTGCCTTGCCCTTGGCGGGTGAGGGTCGTAAGAATCAAAGCCTCTTGGTGCCAAACGTGCTCAAGCGCGCCGAAGAGAGACACGATCTACGCTCGAGGGAGTTAGCGAAAGTCGCACGGGCAGAGGGGAGCAGTGCTCAAACTTTACCGGTATGAGACTGGTATTTGGCGATATTTTGATTAGTTTTGGAGTGGTATGGTATAGTGGTATGCGAAAGTGGTATGCGGGGTTTTCAGTAAAGGGAGCGGACCCTGAGTTGAGGAAATCGAGGGACGCGACCCACCTCGCCACAGACGGTCCCGCGCCTCGCCGCTATGACGGGGACACACCCCGCACCGTCCGCTGTGTCCCCGTCTTTGTCCGGAGTGAAAAGTCCAACGCGCTCGTCGGTGACGGCTTCCCTCAACCTGCGCCGCGCTCGGCGAACCTCGACAGCGCTTTCGGTGGCATGCAGCTCTTTGCGACAGAAGCCTGGAGAGCAGCTCCTCTGCTGCTCACACACTCTGCACAGTTGACACAGCCTACTGTGCGGCTGCCACAGCTGTCACAGCGATGGGCTCGCCCTCACTGGCCCTCAGTCACTTGTGCTGCGGCTTGTGTGAGCGACACTGCTCGGCGACTGCCGGCACACTGTGAGACCATGGGTGTGAGGTTAAACCACGCTACCAGCGCTTGGTCACATCGGCCCCGAGGTCAGATCCTTCTACTCTGTTGATGACAAGACTTGTTTACTGGCTGGAGCCGAGCAGGAGGACCCAGCGCACAACCCCTGGTCAACTCAGGGTCCGCTCCCCGTAGTTGTAGCGGCTGTCGGTGTGGTCCCGGGGGCGAAACCATGCAAAAGTGCGGGTATTACCCGGGTATACCCGGGGTTTTCCAGGTATACCCGCAAAATACCCGGTATTTTGCCGATTTTGCCGATTTTGCCACCAAGAAGGCACTCCGACTCGCTTTGATTTCCGTGAGGCAACTGGTATCCCGTACCACTTTTTGATTAGTGCAGGCCTTGGGTTTGATTAGCCAAAAACTCCCATACCGGTAAAGTTTGAGCACTGGAGGGGAGACCGAGGCCTCCGGCAGTCCGCACCGCCTCGCGAAAGGGAAGCAACTAGGTAGGGAAGCAACGATCAACTCCAGCTTGGACTTGGGTGCGCCGAGCGCCGGCGCGTAGGTCGCGACCGACGCGCAGCGCGGGCACGTCGCGAGCACAGGAGCGCGCGGGTGCCGTGCTAGCCTTCGATGTTATGAAACAAACGCAAAAGGCGGACACACGCATGGCATATCGCTCTCGGGCCCACAGACATCCCGCACACCCGCCGCCCCCCCCTTCTCGCCCGCCCCGGCCGGGAGAAAGGGGAGTGACAGTTTGGGACGGCAACAGAACGAGTATCTTGCACTCCCATGTTCAAGAACGCAGAGAAAGGACTGGGGGTGGTCCGGCCCACAAGTCCGTCTCATGGCCCCAACTGACCGATCTACCGCACTGAACACTTGCGCCCCCTCGCTCCCAACCCATCCATCCACCTCGCCGAGCCGCGCCGCGCTATATCGGGCGATCTCGCCGCGCACACACACGAACACACACGGCGAGCGTCGCGCAGCGGCACCGCACCTGCTCAAAAAAGGAAGGGCCTGGTTGGAGCCACGGGGGTCGGGGCTCACGTACTCGCTCGGAGCGCCGCCTCACTCTGCGCCACTTTGAGGCGTTGAGCCCGCGACGGTGAGGCGGCGCCCCGCGCGGCGCGTTCATCGCCCTCCACGTCGACCCCTGCGCGCACCGCTCATCTTGGCCCTGAGGGAGGGTGTAGAGGATGTAGAGTGTAGAGCGCTGTAGAGCGGTAGAGCTGTAGAGCGCTGTAGAGCTGTAGAGCGCTGTAGAGCTGTAGAGCTCTACATCCGGCGCGGGACGATGTGAGTCGCCTGTAGAGCGCTGTAGAGCGCGATTTTGCTGTAGAGTTGGTTGTAGAGGCTCTACAGCCAAACCGCCGGGAAGGCAGTGACTCAAAGAGGTCGAGCCGCGCTAATGGGGTGTCTCCGAGCTTACTGGAGCTCTGATGGACGGCCTTGACTACCCTGACACACAGAGAGTCACTCTGACGGCACACAACACCGCTACGCCGAGCCGAGCTGACGCGCCGAGGCGCCGGCCAGTCGCAGCCGTGAGGCATGCCACAGCAGCAGAGGCACCTGCCACCCATTGGGCGGGCAGACAGAAGGCCAGGGCAGCACTGGCAAGTGCAACGCGCCTCATGTCGGAGAGCGACCGTGCCTCGTTCGCCGCTTATGATGTAGAGTTTGTTGTAGAGATTTCACGTTGTAGAGCGCCTCTACATCGCTCTACAGGCGACTCACATCGTCACGCGCCGGATGTAGAGCTCTACAGCTCTACAGCGCTCCAGAGCGCTCTACATCTCTACAGCTCTACAGCGCTCTAACACTCTACATCCTCTACACCCTCCCTCAGCCATTGAACCCCTTGTGTTGAGGTTGAAGTTGGTGTCGGCGAGGTTGAGGTACTCGACGCCCAAGGTGCAAGGAGTTGAAATCGGAGAGCGAGACGCCGAGGAGCGCCGCCTTGTTCTGGATGTAGGGCACGTCCTTGCCCTCGTTCGCCGCGAGCGCAACGTGGAGGACGCGCTGCGCGCCGCTGTCGGTGCCGGCGGCCGCCGCAGCGGCCATCTCGCACTCATCTGTCTGGTAGGCGTCCATGCTGGTGTGTGTGGCTGTTGGCGTCGACGACGTCCATGCGAGCGCTCGCTGTCGAGCTGCTCGTCGAGGCCGTATGCGCGGGGCGCCGTTGATGCCGCGTCAGTGCAACGAATTCTTACTCGCACAACACTGGGCACGGGACTGGCGCGCACTCACGGAAATTCTTACTCGTACTGTCGTAGCCTAAAGTCTGGGCAGGTTGTCGGGGACACGATCCCGGCGTGAACACGACTAACTGACGGATCCGCTCCTGACAGTCGCACGCGCCGCTCTGTGGCGCGTGCGACTGTCTTTGTTTGAAGTAAAAAGTCGAATCAGAGCGCCGTCGGCGTTGTCCCCGGATTTTCTCCCCAGGACCGCCCGTCCGGCACCGCTCCGGGACGCACGCCGGCGAAGCACCATCAAGCTGCTGTACGGCCCCGGCATCGCCTCCCCTGGCTTAGCTCTCAGTCAAGATATTGTGCACATGGGTGGCCTCTACAATATACTCACTGACACTGAACCTCCCAGAGCTCGTCCCGGTCCGCCACGGCCATCCTCGTCCTCCGGCGGGCCCCCGGCCGCGGCGCGGTGCGGCGGCGTCACAAATCCGACTACAGAGCACCGGGACGCGGTCGGGCGATCTAAGGCCCAGTGAGGCGTATGCATTGCCCATCCAGGGCTATCACCTGGACCCATCAACAGGCGCCTGCGGCGCCGTGGTCAGGAGCTGCTGCTCCAACCTGTTCACACTTTCGTACTGTCGTAGTATCGGGCCTCGCTTTGCTCGTGCCGGGGCCGCTTTCGGCTACCCGATGCTCTCGCTCCTCCTCGCCTCCTCGCCCAGCTTCACCGCGCGGCCTCTGCCGCCGCCGCGGGCGCGTTGCACGCCTGATGTGCTCATGGCGGCCGTCTTCATCGATGGCGAGGCGGGCACGACCGGGCTGCAGGTCCGCGGCAGGCTCAGCACTCGGGACGACATCGACCTCATCACGCTGCCCGAGGAGTCGAGGAAGGACCCTGCCGCGCGGGCCGAGGCCATCAACAAGGCCGACGCCGTGATCCTCTGCCTGCCGGACGCGGCTGCCATCGAGGCGGCCGCGCTCGTCGCGGCCGACAACGACCGGACGGTGCTCATCGACGCGAGCACCGCGCACCGCACGAATGCAGAGTGGGCCTACGGCTTTCCCGAGCTCTCGGGCGCGCAGCGCTCGAAGATCGCCGCGTCGAAGCGGATCGCCAACCCGGGCTGCTACGCGACGGGCTTCATCTCGCTGCTCGGCCCGCTGGTCGGCGCGGGAGCGGTGCGGCGCGAGGCGCGGCTGGTGACGTCGGCGGTGTCGGGCTACTCGGGGGGCGGGAACCCGCTCATCGCGGTCTACGAGGGCGCGGAGCACGAGCCGTGGGGCGCCTACGGCTTCTCGCTCTCGCACAAGCACCTGCCCGAGATGGCCGCCTTCTCGGGCCTCGACCGGCCGCCCATCTTCATGCCGGCGGTGGGGGACTTTGCGCAAGGCGCGCGCGCCGGGAGGGGCGGGAGGGCCAGTGCGCAGGGGTGGGTGAGGGGCGGGCGGCTGGAAACGTCTCCGCGCTGAGCCTCCTCCCCAGGCGTGGTCAGCTATTAATATTAACATGCATTCCTCCCGCGCGGAACAGGCATGGTTGTGTCTGTGCCGCTGCACTACGACTCCGACCTCGAGCCCGCCTTTGCCGAGGGCGAGGGGGTGGGGCCCTCGCCGGCCCATCGCCCCCTCGGCCACTCACCCCCCGCACGACCACGCCCTCGCTCTCTCGCCCTCGCCGCCCTCGCCACCTCGCCATATCGCCGCTGCCCTCGCCCTCGCCGCCCTCGCCAAAGCGCTGCAGAGCCGCGCGCCAGCCAACTGCTCGCCCCTCAGGTCGGCGAGCGACTTCACGCGGCGCTGGCAGCCCACTACGCCGACGAGCACTTCGTCTCGGTGGGCGGCCGAGGCGTGAGGCGTGCGGCAGCCTGTGCAGCCCACCCCGGCCCGCCCCTCGGCTGCTTTAGGTGATGAGCTTGGGCGAGGAGGCGTGGAAGGAGGAGGGGCTGCTTGAGCGAGGCGCTTTCCTCCGGCCAGACGCCCTCAACGACTCGAACCACCTCCAGATCTTTGTGTACTGCAACGACGCCGCGCGCACTTGCGTCGTCGCCGCCCGGCTCGACAACCTCGGCAAGGGTGCCTCGGGCGCCGCGGTGCAGAACCTGAACATCGCGCTCGGCCTCGATGAGCGGACGAGCCTCGAGTAGGGCCTGTCTAGCCCTTGGGGCAGGGCGCTCGGCGGGCCACCCTCGCGGTAGGCATAAAACAAGTTTAGGTCGTTGAGCATTATAGACAATAGAGGACCCGACCGCGGGCCACCGCGCCGCGATTCCCCTTCCGCCCCGCGGGGCTTGGGCCTTGTGGCCGCCGCTCTCTTGGACACTGATCACTGTTCCGTCGACGAGGACGTTTTCAATCACTGTATTCGCTCTCTCGATCACCGAAAGCTTTTTTCGTGTGTGGATTTCGTCGCATTTCGAGACCCTCGCGCGCTCGCCTGGCCCAACAGCCTATACCTCCTCACGTCGTATCTCGCAGCTCTCACGGACACGCGGCCCCCGGCGGGATGGAGACGTATCAGTGATCGCTGTCGAACGTGACGACCGTCGCCCGCGCGAGGGTGTCACACGCCACGGAGGTATCATAGCCCGCCGCCTCAAGCGCCGCTTCGAAGCGCCTGACCGCGCCCGCGTCCGGCGAGGCGCGCAGCACAGCCTCGGCGTCGGCCGGTGCGTCGCGAGGCAGCGCGTTCAGCTGGAACGCGTGCAGGACGGCGCGGCGCGCGTCTGCGGCGGTCGCGCCGCGGCGAAGGAGGACGTGGGAGCGAGGCGTGCGGCCCTCCTCCCGGCGGAGGACCAGGTGCCGCTCGCCCGCCGCCTCGAGCGCGGCGGCTACCTCGAGCACGCGCGAGGCGCCGCCGCACTCGCGCGCGACCGCCTCGAGCCCGTGGCCGAGCAGCACGCCAGCCGCCTGCGGCGCGGAGGTGCGGCCGTGTCGCCTGGCTCGAGTCTCGGGCGGCCTAACCTCGACCCTAGCCCCGACTAGCCTACCCCTACCCGGCGCCTGGCTCGAGTCGGGCAGGCGAGCCACTTTGTCCCACGCCGCGAGCGCGGAGGGCGGCGGCAGCGAGCCCGAGCGAGCAAAGGCGGACCAGCACCGGGCCAGCCGCCTCGCGTTCATGGGCGTCGTCAGCGCGAGCAGCTTGAGCCCTCTCTCACACGCGACGAGGTGGAGCGCGGTCAGCGTGCCGAACCAGCACCACGCGCCTGCCTCGCCGCCCGCGCTCGCCAGCCCGAAGCGAGCAATCAGCAGGGACAGGGCGAGGCCGACAAGTCCAGAGAGGGTCCCGACAGCGCCGCCCTTGGCGCTGATCTCCGCCATCCCGGCGCCGCGAGTACTCCAGTGGAGCGAGATGGCGGCGTTGGCGCCTCCCGCCAGCACGCCGCACAGCGCCTTGAAGACGCTCGCGGCGCAGAGCAGCGGCAAGAAGAGGCCGCGGTGCCGAAGCCGCACCGCCAGCATCTCGCAGCATAGGCCGATGTCCACCGCGACGTCGCCGGCGAACCGCCTATTTAGTCACCGGCGGCGCGAGTGGCTCTCTCTTCTCAGAGCTGTCCGGCTCTTCTTTGCGTTCTCCTCCTCTCTCCTCTCTCCTCTCTCCTCTCTCCTCTCTCCTCTCTCCTCTCTCCTCTCCGAGCCTATTTAGTCACCAGCGCCGCGTGTCGCCGCCCAGCCGAGAGCCGAGGATCGAGGCCGCGCCGAGATTCGCGAGCATCCCGGCGCCGTCGCGGCAGATCCACTGCAGTGTTGCTGCCGCTGCAGTCGCGGTCTCGTCTCCAACGCCCAGGCCTGCCAACACCCGGGACGTGGCGAGCACATTTCGAAGCTGCGTGGTCAGATCCTGGGCGACGTGCCAGAACTGGTACCGAAGATACTCTTGCGGCACGGTGGCGGGCCAGCCAGCCGGCAGCAGCGCCTGCTTGGCCGTTTGGAGGCTCCAGCTCTTTGCGGCGCGGCCGGCGTCTACCGACGGCCTGCGCAGCAAGACGGCGTGGCTGCGATCGCGCACGAGCGCGACGCCGCTGCGCTCCTCGCAGAGACGCGCCGACGGCTGGCTGTTTGGGGCGAGAGCAGCCAGCACGGGCGAGAGCAGCAGGAGCGCCATCAGCGCAGCGTGGTTGCCGGAGGCTCGACCCGAAGGTGACGGAGGTGATGTCGGTGTTTGTGAAGGCGTGCTGCAGCGAGGGCGCGGGGCGTGGCGGCTCGCGTTGGGGGCGTCGGGAGAACGCGGGAGCAACCAGGTCCCTTCCAGAGAAAGAAAGAAACATGACGACAAAACTTCCTCGCACAACACTGGGCACGGGACTGGCGCGCACTGGCACTAACACAGGTACACCGAAAGAAACGGAGAACCCAAGGGAGGGATGGGAGCAGGATGGGAGAACGGCACGCCGCCACATAAAAAAATTTAAGGAGAGGGGTGTGATGCGCTAGCCGTCGCCCACCCTTGGGCGTCCGCCTCTTCCTATCTCTCTTCGCAGTCTCTCGCCGATTCTCGCTGCAACCTTCATGCCACCTCGCGGTCGTCCCACTCTCGTCGTTCTCTCCCTTGTCATTTCCTCCTCTGTCGCGTCGCTCTCCTCTGCCTCGTTCTGCGACGCCGCCGCCGCCTGCCGGTCCCTTGTTCGCGCGGCTTCTCCCGCCTCTCGGCGCAACTCCGCCCTCCTGGCGGCATATTTTGGCCCCTCGAGTTTATCAAGCTCTCCTCGCGCAAGGACGACTCTTCTGACTCCCACTGCGATCATTTGCCACCCAGTCATGTCGTTGCTCAGGTCCACTCTCTCTTCGAACACTTGTGCCTCCACGGATGATGCTGGCGCTGGGGTCCCCTTCGGGTGCATCGTGACAGCTGACGACGGGATTTCCACTGGTTCGTCCTCCTCTGAGTCGTCTTCCCCGGCTTCCTTCCGCTCGGCTCTACGTTCGGTACGTTCGGCGTGGCTCACCCTCCATGCCGTGAACAGGCGCTTTATCCACTCTATATTCTTCTCTCGTTCCTCTGCCCGTGCCTTGGTCTTGTCGTTGTTTCGCACCCATGTCTGTATGGCAGTCGAGGCTGCCTTCCCCACTGCCTGTAGTTCACTCGTCACCTCTCCCGCGAGCTCCCTTCTCTTTCTTTCGGGTATGGAGTCCGTGAGTGCGGGTAGCGTGCAGGCAATCACGGGCGCTATTTTGTCGTACTCCTCTTCGGCGAGCGCTCCAAATCTAGACCCTTTCGCCTTTAAGGATGCTGCTCTCGCTCGTCTCAGGAATGTGGCGGTGTCTTTTGAGTCCGGCGCCTCCCGTTCAACTCTTGCTGTCGCCCTCGCCGTGTGTTTGTCGAGCTTCCGCATGAAGTAACGCGCCTCTTCCTTATTTCCAGCGCAGCTGCCGCTCAGTATGTGCGCCAACGACGCCTGTGGTGGCTCACTGTCTTCTTGTTTCCAGTCGTGAGTCCCAGTCTCTCTACAGTTCTCCGAGTCTCCTCCTCGCCTCGCGCGCCTCTTTTGTGGCCTCATCCCTAGCCGCTTTGCACGCTCTGCAATAAATAAATAAATAAATAAAACGGACACACCAAACAAGGGGTGGGCTCTGCAGTCCAGTTTATAGTCGAGAGCATTCGATTTCTTGCTGTGACTCCATGGACGCGGCACCTCCTGCCGCCGGCCGTGTCGTCGCGCCGTCAGCCGCGACGGCTCGGCCGCGCCCTCGCTTCACCGGGCTCTCAGCCAGGCCCGGGTCGGCCGGCGGCAGCGCTGCCGCCCCGCCTGCCGGTGGCAGCGGCGACGCGACCGCCATCGTGCCGCAAAAGGCGCCGCGGCCGCGCCGCCGCTTCATCTCGCAGATTCCGCCTTCGATCGCCGATGACCCGGAGCTCCAGTCGGCCCTGGGCGCGCTGCCGTCCAACTACAACTTTGAGGTGCCAAAGACCATCTGGCGGCTCCAGCAGCTCAAGGCGTCGGCCGTCGCACTGCAGTTCCCCGAGGGCCTGCTCATGTATGCGACGACGATTGCCGACATCCTCGAGCGCTTCGCGGGCGTGTCGGCCGTCATCATGGGCGACGTCACGTACGGCGCCTGCTGCGTCGACGACATCTCTGCGGCGGCGCTCGGCTGCCAGGTGCGGCCCCGCCTCCTCGGCTGGCGGCTGCTGGATGGCGTCCCTCTGACCCCGCCCCGGCCCGGCCTCGCAGCTGCTGGTGCACTACGGCCACTCGTGCCTCGTGCCGGTCGATCAGATGGAGACCGACGTGCTGTACGTCTTTGTCGAGATTGCCATCGACACCGCGCACCTGGTCGACTCGCTGCGGCTCGCCTTCACGTCAGCGCCGTTCGGGCCCGCCACGCGGCTCGCGCTCTGCGGCACGATCCAATTCGCCGGCTCGCTGCACGCGGTCCGCGCCGCCCTCGAGCCGCACCTCGCCTCGGTGACGGTCCCGCAGTGCAAGCCGCTCTCCGCCGGCGAGACGCTCGGCTGCACCTCCCCGAAGCTGCACGACGTGGACGCGGTCGCCTTCGTGGCGGACGGCCGCTTCCACCCCGAGTCGGTGATGATCTCCAACCCGAGCGTCCCGCTCTACCGCTACGACCCGTACTCGAAGCAGCTCACACTCGAGGTGCGCGAGCACGCGCCGACCTTGGCCCCGCTGACCCCTCGCCCCCACCCACCCCGCCCCCGCCCCCGCCCCCGCCCCCAGGTGTACGAGCACGCGCGGATGCACGAGCTGCGGCGCGCCGCCGTCGCCACCGCCGCAAGGGCGCGCAGCTGGGGCATCGTCCTCGGCACGCTCGGCCGGCAGGGGTCGCCCGCCGTGCTCGGACACGTGCAGCGTATGCTCGCGGCGCGGAGGATGCCCTTCGTCACCGTGCTCCTGTCGGAGGTCTTCCCCGCCAAGCTCGCCGCCTTCGGCGAGGTCGAGGCGTGGGTGCAGATCTGCTGCCCGCGCCTCTCCGTCGACTGGGGGCACGCCTTTCCGGTGCCGCTCCCCTCGCTGCACGGTGCGGGCACCTCCCAGAACCCTGCCAGGCACCTCGCATCCCCTCTCTGCAGGTGCCGCTCCTCTCGCCTTACGAGGCGGAGGTCGCGCTCGGCGCCTCGGAGTGGCTCTCAACCTACCCGATGGACTACTACTCCAAGGCGGGCGGCACGTGGGCAAACTACGCGCTCGAGCATGACCGTAAGGCCAGCCGCGAGCGCTGCTGCAAGAGGGCGGCCGCGGTGGAGGCCGCGGAGGGCGGTTGCGGGCAGGGCGGCTGCGGGCAGGGCGGCTGCGGGCAGGGCGCTACGCCCTCTCCGCCGCCCTCGCCGCCCGCGTCGCCGCCCTCCTCGCCGCGCGCGAGCGGCGAGGCGAGCGGCTGTTTGGCGGGAGGGGGAGGCTACTCGCTGGTGGACGACGGCGTGCGTCACGGCGGCGGGCTGCTCGAGCGGTGCTGCGCGCTCGAGAGGCGGTGCTTCGCAAAGCACGAGGCGATGGACCTCCCCGCCGAGACGCGCGGCCGCGGCGCCCTCCTCATCTGCGCCATTGCGGCGCCCGCGTGGCCTGACTTGGGCAGCATCGCCGCCGCGGGCGACGGCCGGCCGCCGCCGCCGCAGGTGGCGGGGTACCTCGTGCTGCAGCGCTCCTCCCTCGCGGCCTCCGTCGCGAAGCTCGTGGTCGCACCGGCGCACCGGCGCCAGGGCCTCGGCCGGCGGCTGCTCGAGCGCGCCCTCCAGATCGCGAGGGAGGGGCGCGCGCAGCTGTGCAGCCTCAATGTCGACACGAGCAACGAGCCCGCCCTGACGCTCTACCGCGGCGTCGGATTCCGCGTCGCCTCCACGCGGAGAGACTATTACTGCGTCGGCCGCGACGCATACGCGATGGAGGTTTCGCTGGCAGAGCAGTGAGCGGTGCAGGCCGCGGCAAGATTGATGCAGCCCCGCAGCAAAAGTCGAGTGTCAGTCCAGTGGCAATTAGCCAATGAATTGAATGTCGCGCGGTCTCATGTGTTCCACGACCTTACGCGGAATGCAAAATATGCGTTTTACGGGGCAAAAACCAAAATGTGCAGACACTTTTTCTTTGTAGATACACAAGGAACACGAGGAGCGCTCATCCACCCGCTCACACAGCTCTCTTCCAGCGCTCTGCGGCGTGCGCGGGCACTGTCCACTGAGACTGACCCGACACCCGTGGCACCACTGTGACAGTCACCCGGGTCCACTGGCTCCCTGGATCCCTCTTCTCCACTTCACTTGTACTGCACCGCACGTATATCGACTAGGCACTCGCCGAGACGCCGCCCGCTTTGCCCTCCGTCCGCTCGGCCGCCCGCGCCAGCCCGCCCCACAGCGTGCACACGTAGGTGATGACGGACTTCTCGTCGGGCAGCGGGTAGTTCCGGGCCATGTCGCCCTCGTCGAGCAGCTGCGGCACGCCCGCCAGCTCGTCCGCTAGCCGAAAGGCGTGCGCACAGGCGCTGCGGACCTCGGGTGCGCGGAGTCGCGACCCCTCCCCGGCACACGCGCTGGACGCGAGCACGCTGGCATCGACCGCCTCTGGGAAGTAGGTGCGGAGGATCGCGAGAAAGGCGCGGCCGTCCGCAAAGGAGCGGCTCCAGTCGATGATGTGCACCGTCGGGTCGCTCTGCGCCGCCGCCGTCTCGGCCCATTTAAGCATGTGACGCATGTCGAGCTGCTCGACGGCGGGCGGACGAGGCAGGCGCAGGGCGGCGGCGCTCACGGTCCCGCTGCCAGCCCGCCGCCCGCCCCTCGCCGGCGCTCTGGGCGCGTGGGCAGCGCAGTAACGCACATCGGTGGAGGGGTCGTGATACCAGCCCGCCTCGAGCGAGACGCCGCAAGTACCGCAGCGAGGCAGGCACTGCGGGTGGAACTCAGCGCCCGCTGCCTTCATCGCCTGGCCAATGAGCGGCTGGCTGCAGAAGTGGCAAGCGCGCGCGGGCGCCGTGAAACAGCCGCGATGGTAGGCGCAGCCGCCGTGCTCCACAAAGCCCGCCGCCCGGTCGACAAAGGCGCCGCCGCAGCCGGCGCACTTGAAGCACTCGGGGTGGTAGGCGCCGCCCATGGCGCTGATGGTGCGGCCCTGCACCGGCTTGCCGCAGCCCTTGCACGCCGGAAGGCCGGCTCCGGTCTGGTCAGAGGCTCGTCCCGGGCTAGGACCTACAGCCTGACCGGAGCCGGAGGTGCAATTCGGCGGGCTCGGGCGGCCCTTGCAGTGGCACAGCCGGGCGGGCTCGCCGCAGCTGGAGCAAAACCCAGACATGGCGCCTCGCTCGCAATGCCACGTGTCGACAACTTCCTTCTCCCTTCCTTCGGGAACGGCAGAGATCGAGCGTCACTTTGTACCAACCCCCCTACTTCGTGGGGACCCCCCCGCCGGTCGGTGGTCTGCCCCCGAGGTGGACCGGACCCCCCCTCCGGTCGGTCGCTCTCTCGGCGGCGGGAGGTGTGACGACCGACCCCCCCCTCGGTCGGTGTCCTTGCCGTGAGCCCCCTGAAACGCTCTCCCTCCTTCTCGCGAACCGCCACGGGCGCTTCGAAATCGCCGGTTTTCACTATGAAAACTAGTCACGCAGCCAAGCGCCAAGGAGACTTCTTCGCCGAGGCCCGAGCGAGCCCGACCCCACACATACATGTGGAGCATCTACGTACGCAGGCAGGCCTGGTCCTGCTTGCCGTCACTTTGTACAAGCTCTGGCAGCGCTCCAGTTCTCCGTACCGCGCGCATCGTCCCTTCCGATGACTACGATGACTTGCCAGACTTGATCGCCGCCGCCGCGTCACCGGGCTCATCGGCTCCGAGTCGCCCAGCGAATGGCAATCGATGGACGCCGCTGAGCCCGGTGACGCGGGAGCGGCGTCCATCTGGAGCAACTCAGTTAATCGCGACATGCTGCGCGTTGCGCGCGGGCAGAGCTATGCCGGCAACATGATCTGCCTCGCACCCGGTCTTCACGTCTCCAAATTTTCGCGCGGGCAGAGCTTAGGCGATCCGTCCGATTCGGAGAACGAGGGCGAGGGCGAGGAGGAGGCGGAGGCGGAGGAGGAGGCGGAGGCGGAGGACGAGGACGAGGACGAGGACGAGGACGAGGACGAGGACGAGGAGAGCGACAGCGGCGACACACCCCTCAAGCTACACATCAACCTCACGACGGAGGTGGAGAGGGAGGTGGACCTCTTCTTGGAGTGTGTCGGAGGAGGAGCAGTTCACCTTCGAGGAGTTCTACTGCACGCTGCCCCCGTGGGCGCGCGGCCGGCAGAAGGAGGTGCTGGCCGCGCTCAAGCGGCTCGTCAACGGCTACAGTGTGTCGCCGGCGAAGCTAATCATGGACGACGACGACGACCAGAGCGTGTGGACATGGACGAGCTCGTGTTCCGACCCAATCCTGAGCGCGGTCTCGAGCTCAGCAACTCGGACGACGTCACTACTGGATGGCGGCCACTCGGGCGACGCTAAAGCGTCACTAACTCTCGAGGTTCTCGAGGTGGATATCCTTTTGCCGCGTTGGGTAGCGAGGATTGGTGTGACGCGATCCACGCAGGCGTGGTTTCTGACGGCCGACCGTCAGTGCACGGAGTTGCCCCTTCTCCGATTGCCCCGGCTAGTTCACGAGTTTCGCGGGAGTGACCCCATGCGTCAAACCCGAGACCTAGCGCGGGTGGGTTGGGGGGGGGCTCGCTGCAGGGAAGGGCTGTGTAAGAAGCCGATCCCCGTAGTCCTTCGGGAACGGCCTAGCCTGGCTGGCCGGCGCCGATAACATCTACCTAACTTTTATCGCGCGCTTCGATGTCTCGAGCGGTGGATATCCTTTGGCCGCGTTGGGTAGCGAGGATTGGTGTAACCCGAGCCACGGAGGAGTGTTTTCTGACGGCCTACCGTCAGTCAGTGCACGGAGTTGCCGCTTCTCCGCTGCCTGCCCCGGCTAGTTCCCGAGGTCGTCGGGTGTGACCCCTGCGTCCCCCGAGACCTAGCGCGGGTGGATTGGAGGGGGGCTCGCTGCAGGGAAGGGCTGTGTAAGAAGCCGATCCCCGTAGTCTGCGCTTCGATGTTTGTTTGTTGCTATCTCCAGTTGAACATCAGCAATGCTGAAGAAGAAGAGAAGAAGAGTTTGTTGCAATGCTGTACAATGTCCTAAAAAATCAAAAAAATGTCCAGCACACATTTGCATTTGCAGCGGCTGCGTATCATCATCATTCATCAATCACACAAAACTAGTGGAAAGTCGTGATTTCTTGTTGGTTAATAAAAATCTCTCTCTCAAAACTATTGCTAAAAATCTCTCTCTCAATCACGCCACTCTTTGACTAACTAACACAACACTCTCATCACAACAACTCAACACATCTCTCTGACTGACCCTCCCTTGCGGACTTGTGACGGCCGGTGGCGTCCGGCACACGAAACTCTGCAGAGCTCTACATGTACACGGCTCTACACTCTATACAGCGCTCTGCACTCTACATCCTCTATAGATCTCTATCTAGAGAGAGATTTTTGTTGCTCTATCTACACCCTCCTCCCGCACGGGCCTTCCCTCCCGTACCTGCTTGCCCTCAACCATGCGTTGCCCGAGGAGGCGCAGGCGCGTGGTCTGCCTCTTTCAGTGCCAGTGCGCCCCTGGCCCGTTTCCTTTTTCCACGCGAATTCTGTGGAACACGTGGTGCTGTGGCTGAAGACGTTTCTTTTTGGCACAACATTGTACACTGGCTGGCGCACATAATAATCCAACAACAAAAGGCCCTTACAGTTACACCCCGAGACCGACACGTCTGACGTCTCCTCTGTGCTCTGACCTCTCGCGTCGCGTCGTGTGAATCTCCCCTCTCTTATAGTTACGTTACACGCGCGAACAGCCCTCGAGAAGGAAGCGAAAATGTGAGCTGGGTGGCTCTCAAAACCTTTTCTTTTTGCATGGTGGGAGATCAGCCGCCAAACTGTGGTGAGACCTCGATCACCTTGAAGTTTCGGCCCTTGAAGTTCTTGGACATCGACCTGCCAGTGGGCTTTACGAAGGTGAGCGGTGGGTAGAGCACCTCCTCCTCATCGGGAAAAGCAGAAAGGAACTGGATCGATGCCCCACGCTGCATGAACGTGTCGGTGCGGATCTTGAAGATCAGCGAGGTTGAGGCGTCAGAGTACGCGATGGCCACCTCCAACTTGGTTGTCGTCGACATTGGGGCGAGCTCAGTGCCCCCTTGCAGCATGAAATCCTTGGTTTCTTTGAGGCCGCGCATGCCGCGCCACAAGTCGAGGCGCGTCTCGCTCTTGCCCTCCTCTCCCGTGGGCCTAGCCGCGTCCTCTTCAGCCCCGACGGCGCGCAGCTTGGATATCGCGTCCCGCAGAAAGGCAATTGTGACTGGGAATGGGTGGGGGTCGGTGCGATTGGTGTCGCGCAGCGGGTTGTTGAGACCACGAAAGGCCCATGTGGTGTAGACGCGCAAGGCGATGACGTGTTCCTCCTTGAGATGTGCCGTGACAGAGCTTTGATGCGTCAGAAAGTCGGCGAGGCGCATGCCCTCACCGCACGGAGTGAGCCGGTCCGGTCGCACACCATTCTCGTCGCAGTCGCGTGCGTGGGGCGAGTTGGCAAAGAGCTTGGGAGACGAGCCCGCCGCCTCGTACATGACATAGTTGAGGCACTCGAGATAGACATCTGCTTCTTCGCCGCAGTAGCATTCAAACTCAGCACGGATGGCAGCCGTGCCCTTCGAGAGGCCTGCGTAGACGCGGTCCGGCGCCACTTTCATGTAGTGAATGAAGCCATAAGCTGCGTCCTGCGGCTTGCCGCTGATGAGCTCGCGCACCTCTCCAGTATACTTCACGCTGCCTTTGATTTTGCCGCTCAGCGCGACCGTGAACACGCTCTTCAGGTCCAACGGCTCGTCATTGTCCTTGACGAAGACGTCGATGTCGTGCTCGTGGCTGATGTACATCCTGGACTTAGGTCGCCAATACTTGCAGTACACGAAAAGTAGCAGCACGGCGAGGCCCATCACGCCGGCAATCGGTCCAATGATTGCACCGATCGTGGCGCTTGCCTGCGATCCCACCTCCCAGTACGGAGGGTAGGCCGGAGGTGACGGCGGGGACGGTGGCGGAGACAAGGGTGATGGTGGCGGCGATGACGGCGGTGGAAAGGGAGGCGGCGTTGAAGGAGGGGGGGCTGATGGAGGAGGTGAAGGTGGTGGCAACGGCGGTGATGGTGGCGACGGTGGCATCGGCGGAGAAGAGGGTGGGGACGGCCAGCATAGCAGCCAACCTCCGGAGGTCAGGCCGCCTGAATCAGCCTTCCATTTGATGACTCCGTCAGAGGTCACGACACCGCTAGGGCCCGTACTGCCGCAGTATCGTTTATTATTGACAATAATGTGATCAAGATTACAATCTGGTTGTCCGTTGTAAAAGTAAGGCATCTCAACATCGAAGTCGCGAACCTCAATTGGAACGGAGGGCACGTTCGAGATCGTGCACTCTTGATCGCCTCCGTCCCACGTGTCGTAAGGCTCCGGATAGTTTGGACTCTTGGCACAGACTCCGCCGTTAATGAGTGAGCATGGGCCAGTGACCGTGATTGATCCCGGCAGTGACGGTGGCGGCGACGGTGACGGAGGCGGCGACGGTGGCGTCTGCGAGTCAGCGGAGCATCCTGTGGTGCGGATAAATTCGGTTGGAGAGGAGCTGCAGTCGATCGTTCCCTCTTGGTTGCCACAGTACAGGCCACTGCTGACACACGGCCCTGTCGACGGAATGCTGGGTGGCAGCCACGGGCCGTGAGCGAAGCAGTTTGAGCACGACAATTGTTCAGCAGCTGCAGCGTCGTCAACAGCTGGTGGCAATGACGGAGGGTTTGACGGCGGCAGCCGCTGCGGTGGCGAAGGCGGCCCTCTCGGCACGCACTTGCAGACGGCGTCCGAGCTGGGCACCCCAAACTGGTCGCTGGGAAAGGGCTGTGTGCACGTCGCCCGCTGCTCCTCCTCTGACAGCTGCAAGAGGGCCAGATATCGAGAGTCAGGTAGGCTGCATGTCTCACCCTGCCAGTCGTCCCACTGCAGCGCGCAGCGCAGAAGCGTATGCTGCTGGTTGCTACAAAAAGAATGACAGTTCGTCTCTCCCATCGTCAGGATGACCGAGGCGCATCGCAGCGAAGGGTCCGAAGAGTAGTCGCAGTATTTGTCGCCATCAGTGCCAGTCCAGTCTATCGCGTCACATTCAATAAACGACCCTTCAACAGCCAGCAGGCCGAGGAAGAAGAAAAGTGCCTTCGAAGATGCGGCGGGAGAAGGCCGATAGCTGGGCATGGGCTGTGCTGCCACCGCAGACGGCAGCGAGTCGAGGTCTCGAGGAGATAGCGAGGTGACGACAAAGCAGGCGCTGCTTCTCTGGAGCCTGATGGGTGGCGGCGGATTGTGTGAGTTGCAACGGCGTGCTGCAAGGAGTGCGCGCCGCGCGCGCGGGTGTGTCGAGGCAACAGGTTCGAGGGGGTGTGGCGATGCTGTCCTTTGCGTTCAGTTACGCATCCGATCTCGTGCAGCTCGCGTGGGGCAGTGGCGGTGAACCTTCTTTTCTAGACGGCTAGGATTGAGAGCAGCCTCGCTCTCAATCCTAGAAGTCGAAGGATTGTGAGCAGCACTCCTCGCAAGCGTAGCATCTCTGTACGATTGCTAGCACCCACGCTCGCAATCCTACATCTTCTAGGACTAAGTAAGAGCAGCTCCGCTCCCAAGGTGACTGGTGACGCCTACGACTACTACCAGCGCGCTCGCAATCCGAGCAAAGTCTAGGATTGCGAGCAGCTTTGCTCACAATCCGAGCAACATGCCTCCGATTGCGAGCAGTAGCGCTCGCAATCCTAGAACTTTCGCCGATTGCGAGCGACACCGCCCACAGTCCTACGACTTCTAGGATTGCGAGCGGGTCCCCTCGCAATCGGTGCGATCACTGTTTGGATTGTGAGGAGACCCTCCCGGCGCGCTCACTCACAAGCGCTCGCGGCTGGAGCGATTGGGAGCGCCCTCTGTGCGCGTGCTAGCAATCCTTGGATCTTGGGTACGATTGTGAGCGCCGCCGCTCATAGTCCTACAAGATGTAGGATTGCGAGCGCTACTCGTGCTCGCAATCGGAGGCATGTTGCTCGGATTGCGAGCAGTGCTGCTCGCAATCCTAGACTTTGCTCGGATTGCGAGCGCGCTGGTAGTAGTCGTAGGCGTCACCAGTCACCTTGGGAGCGGAGCTGCTCTTAGTCCTAGAAGATGTAGGATTGCGAGCGTGGGTGCTAGCAATCGTACAGAGATGCTACGATTGCGAGGAGTGCTGCTCACAATCCTTCGACTTCTAGGATTGAGAGCGAGGCTGCTCTCAATCCAAGCCGTCTAGAAAAGAAGGTTCACCGGCAGTGGCTGTCGGTCGCTCCTCTAAAGGGCCCGCGATTTCTTGCAGAGACGATCGCTGGGCACGCACTCCGGCGGTACGGCGATGCTCCCGAGCAACACACCTCCTGCCGCATCGATCGGTGCAGCTGCGAGGTGCAGCAAGAGCACGTCGTTCCTGCCTCTGATGCCACTCTCGCGGCTTGTGCGTCACTCGCGCATGCACCATGCTCTCCAGGAGCTATGGCGGGCGCGTGTGTGGGGCTGTAGCCTGTGTTTGGCCGGTTCTGAACCGTTTACTATCAGTACCATGCCTGGGCCACAAGAATCGCACACGGGGAGCGGCTCAGGGGCCCAGTAAGCCGCGGAATCGCCAAATGTCACAACCCATGCCACCCAGGGCTGGACCTAGTCCCCTCTTCTCCACTTCACTTGTACTGCACCGCACGTATATCGACTAGGCACTCGCCGAGACGCCGCCCGCTTTGCCCTCCGTCCGCTCGGCCGCCCGCGCCAGCCCGCCCCACAGCGTGCACACGTAGGTGATGACGGACTTCTCGTCGGGCAGCGGGTAGTTCCGGGCCATGTCGCCCTCGTCGAGCAGCTGCGGCACGCCCGCCAGCTCGTCCGCTAGCCGAAAGGCGTGCGCACAGGCGCTGCGGACCTCGGGTGCGCGGAGTCGCGACCCCTCCCCGGCACACGCGCTGGACGCGAGCACGCTGGCATCGACCGCCTCTGGGAAGTAGGTGCGGAGGATCGCGAGAAAGGCGCGGCCGTCCGCAAAGGAGCGGCTCCAGTCGATGATGTGCACCGTCGGGTCGCTCTGCGCCGCCGCCGTCTCGGCCCATTTAAGCATGTGACGCATGTCGAGCTGCTCGACGGCGGGCGGACGAGGCAGGCGCAGGGCGGCGGCGCTCACGGTCCCGCTGCCAGCCCGCCGCCCGCCCCTCGCCGGCGCTCTGGGCGCGTGGGCAGCGCAGTAACGCACATCGGTGGAGGGGTCGTGATACCAGCCCGCCTCGAGCGAGACGCCGCAAGTGCCGCAGCGAGGCAGGCACTGCGGGTGGAACTCAGCGCCCGCTGCCTTCATCGCCTGGCCAATGAGCGGCTGGCTGCAGAAGTGGCAAGCGCGCGCGGGCGCCGTGAAACAGCCGCGATGGTAGGCGCAGCCGCCGTGCTCCACAAAGCCCGCCGCCCGGTCGACAAAGGCGCCGCCGCAACCGGCGCACTTGAAGCACTCGGGGTGGTAGGCGCCGCCCATGGCGCTGATGGTGCGGCCCTGCACCGGCTTGCCGCAGCCCTTGCACGCCGGAAGGCCGGTCCTCTGGTCAGAGGCTCGTCCCGGACTAGGACCTACAGGTGCCTGACCGGAGCCGGAGGTGCAATTCGGCAGGCTCGGGCGGCCCTTGCAGTGGCACAGCCGGGCGGGCTCGCCGCAGCTGGAGCAAAATTTAGACATGGACTCGGTGTCGACCACCAGCCCGACGCTCACTACAAGTGGCGCCTTGCTCGCAATTGCCACGTGTCGACGTACGTCCTTCCTCACTGTCTCCCTTAGGCCGAGTCTGGCTGCCGGGGGCGCCGGTGACATTCTACGCGGGGAATTTCCCTTAGTTTTATCGCGCGCTTCGATGTTGCAATCAATGCTGTATGTAGCAATGTCCATCAGCACACACACACACACAATTGCTGCAGCTGAGAAGAAGAAAAAATCTCTCTCTCTGTGCAGCTGCGTATCATCACGCCACACTCTCTCTCTGACTGACTCAACAACTCTCACAACAACTCAACACATCTCTCTGACTGACCCTCCCTCGCGGACTTGTGACGCCACAGTGACGGCCGGTGGCGTATGGCACACGGAACTCTCTCTGCAGAGCTCTATCTACACTCTCAGCTCACCTGCCGGGCCTTTTCCCTCCCTTGCTTGCTTGCCCTCGGCCGCTCGCGGCTTCTCTCTTCCTCTCTGCGTAGGAGGCAGGCAGGCGGCAGATTGGTATTGCTAAAAATCTCTCTCAGAAGAGATCCTACCCTGCGTGGTCTGCCTCTTTCAGTGCCAGTGCGCACCAGTCCCGTGAGCCGCATTCCAGGTAGCGAATTCTTCTTTTGCACGACATTAGGCATGTGTTAGTGCCAGTGCGCGCCAGAAAGAAAGAAAGAAAGAAAACAGACAACCCAAGGGAGGGATGGGAGGACGGCACGCCGCCACCACACAGGGATTTTAAGGAGAGGTGTGTGATGCGCTAGCCGTCGCCCACCCTAGGGAGTCTGCCTCTTCCTATCTCTCTTCGCAGTCTCTCGCCGCTTCTCGCTGCAGCCTTCATGCCACCTCGCGGCCGTCCCACTGCCGGTTCTCGCGGCTAATGGGTAAAATTCTTCTTTTGTGTGTGCCAGTCCGCGCCAGTCTGCGCCCTTGTCGTGCCAGTGTGCTGTGAGAGAGGCTTGTATCTTAAGAATTCTTCTTTTGCGAGGCTAGCTCCTGCCTGCCGACCGTTGACGGTGCCTTTCCCTGCGGCGATGGAATCGGAGTCCAGAGCGATAAGTCGAAGTCCGATAAGTCGAAATCACAGCATGACCGCCAGACTCGCCAGACTCCGCGAGGTTCGCAAGCAGGAGCGCTACATCGCGGCCGCCACCCGCGAGAGCTTCCGCGCTGCCGTGGGGGAGCGTCGAGCGGCGCTGCGGAGCGAGGCGGTGGTGCCGCCTGCGCCAGTCTCGGACGGCTACGCCGCTGTGGCGTTTGAGCACGCGAGCGCGAGCCTCGGCATTGCGCACGGCGCCGCGCGCGCCGAGCGGCACGAGATCGGTCAAGAGGCGGCCGCCGAGGCCGCGTCGTGGAGGGAGGGCCGGGCGCGAGCAGAGATGCGGCAGGCTTGTGCCGACTACGACCGCGTCGTGCACGGCGCGGTGGACCGGGCGAGCCGCGCGGCCGCCTCGGGCCGACGGGAGCACGTGGCTCGCGTGGAGGCCGCGCGCAGCGCGGCCGCAGTCGCGAGCGCCCGCTCGGACGACGCAAGGCGCCACGAGGACGAGCAGCGGCAGGCGGCGGCCGCGGCGGAGAGGGCGGCCGCGGCGCAGCCTCCTCCGCCGAGCGCGCAGGCTCGCGCCGGCTTCGAGACGACGCGGACGCACTGCTGCGCCGCGCCGCCGAGCCGGCCGGCGCGGCCGCAGGCTCCGCCAGCGCCGGCTGCCGTGCCGCCGCCGCCTCCGGCGCAGCAGCCCGTGGCCCGCCGAGGCGCCGGCTTGCTGGCGGGCGGCGGGGCGGTCGAGGTGATCCAGGAGAACGCCCTCATCTACACCGACCGCGGCGGCGGCTCGCAGCGCCAGTCGGGCGCCGCTCGCGCCACGGCGCAGCGGCACGCCTCCGTGGCTCCGTCTCGCGGCGCGGGCGGCGCGAGGGTGCGGTACGAGAACGACGGCCCGACGGCGACGGAGCTCGGCAGGGAGGCGGAGCGGCGGCGGCAGCAGCTGGCGGCGGAGGCGCGCCTCGCGAGGGGCAAGGCCGAGGCGCGGCGGGTCGCCCGCGGAGAGGAGGCCACCTCACGCCTCCGAGCCGACGCGGCTGCCGAGTGCGTCCGGCAGGAGCTCGCCGCGCTGCAGTCCGCCGAGCGGGCGCACAAGGCGGCGAGGGCCGCCCTGCCGCGCCCGCCGCCGCCCCCGCTGTGGGATGCCGCGCCGGCACGCAGCGCGCCCCGCAAGGCCGCAACGAGCATGGGCTCTGTCCTGTGCTCGGCCGCTGCGGCGGCAGCAGAGGCGAGCCGGCCGCACCTTGCTGGCCAGCCGCACCTTGCTGGCCGGCCGCCCCTCTCGGCCGCCGCGGCGGCGGGAGCTGTGGAGGGTGGCGCCGAAGCAGCGCGCGAGCAGCACCCGCAGCCGTGCCGCCGCTGCTGGACGGCGGGGCAGCCTTCCTGCGGCGCGGACACAGAGGAGCGGCTTGCCTCGGGGGACGCGCCGCGGCGGGGCGAGGAGGCGCGGCAGGGCGAGGAGGCGGGGCGGGGCGACGAGGCGGGGCGGGGCGAGGAGGCGCGCGGCGCGGAGTGGGCTGCGGCGTGGGAGGTGCCGCGGCCGGCCCGGAGCGCGCGATCGGGTGCGGAGCTGCTGGGCGCCGGCTGCGGTGCGGAGGAGGGAGGGCCGCTTCCGGCGCGGGAGTCGCGGCTCGCGTTTCTCGAGCGGCAGCGCCGCGCCGACACGGCCCCTCGCTCTTCGCCACCCCGCCGGACGGCCCAGGCCTCAGCCGGCGCTCGCGGCCAGAGCAGCAGCAGCCACGGGGCTGGGGCTGCGGCGGCGGCGGCGGCGACCGCCGCAGAGGGGGCAGCAGCCGCGCCGGCCCCGGCCGCCGCACCGGCCGCTCCACCCTGTGGCGAGTCGGACGAGGCGGTGGCGGCGCTGCACCGGCTCGGGTGGTTTGTGGCCGAGGGGTGCACCGAGGGGTTGCAGGCTCCGGAGAGGGGGGCGCCGCCGCCGGACCCGGCGCTGGCCGGCGACGGCGACGCTTGCGCGCGACGGGGCGAGGACAAGGAGAACCCTCGCGCGAAGATGCTCAACCTGCTCGCCGCCGCGCTGCCAAAGGCCGACGGCGACGCGGAGGAGCGAGGCGGAGACGTCGCTTCTCGGGAGCGGGTGCCGGAGCAGCCGCCGGCGGGTCGGCCGTGGCTGCAGCCGCGCGCCGCGTCTGCCCCGGGGCGACAGCGCCAACATCGCTCGGCGAGCCCTCCGTCGGCCCGCGAGCAGAGGCACGGCGCGGAGAGGCCGGCCGGCAGGCAGCCGCACGCGACGATGGGGCCTCCTCCTGCCCGCAAGCCTCCTGCCCGCAAGCCACCTGCCCGCAAGCCACCTGCCCGCAAGCCGGCCGAAGGTGAGCGGCAGCGGCCGGAGGCGAGGGGGAGGGAGGCGGCCCGTGGCGGGGCGCCTGCCCCTTCCAGCCGGCCGCGCGCGCCTGCCCGCCGGCAGCTGGCTGGCTCGCCGCTCGAGGAGGAGGACTCCGCGGGAGAGCGGGAGGCGGCGACGCTCACGGCGGCGCCGGTGCCTCGCTCGGAGGAGAGCCCTCACCCCTCTCGCCTCGAGCTCGCCGCTGCGCGAGCCGCCTCCGTGCCTCCGCCCGCCCGCTCGCGCGTCGGCGTGGCGAGTGCGGCTGCTCTGCCGCCTCCGTCGGCCGCCCGCACAGCCTCGGGGGCCGCAGAGGCGCTCTGGGAGCCGCGCCGGGCGCCGGAGGAGGGTCCCCTCCCCGGCCAGGGCGGCTGCTTGCCCGGCCCGGCCCCTTCCCGCAGGGACGCGAGCTGCGGCCCGCCGCCGCGTCCGGCGGCGGTCGACGCGGCAGCCGCGCGCACCCTCCTCCTCTCGCGCACAAAACTACACCCTCACCGCCGCGCTGTGCGGAATAGGCGACGTCGTGCTCGGACCCGCCTGGGAGCGGCGATGGTGGCCGGGGAGGCGGCGCATTCCCCGCAGCAGCCCCCGCCTCGTCGTCGTCGCTGGAGGGGCCTCCGCACCCGCGGCAGCCGGCTCGGTCGGGCTGCTGCGCGCCGAGCTGCCCTCGGGGCTACCCTCAGCCCGCTGGCTTCTCCTCCTCGTCCGACGCGTCTGGCGCGTTCCCCCTCCCGTCCTCCGTCGCCACGGCCGACGGCTTGTCCGCCGGCGGAGGCAGCGAGGCGCCGCTCGATTCGGTCGCGCGCGCCCGCCCGCGGTGCCTCGCCGGAGGGGGATGAGCAGGCGAGTCGGCGACCGTTAGGTCTCGTCGGGCGAAGCGTCCCTCAGCGACCTCCTCGAGGAGCTGCGCCGTTCGAGGCCGCACCCCTTCCGCACGTGCTTGAGAGCCGCAGAGACGCGTGCACCAGCGCCATCGCTGCGCCATAGGCCGTTCCTCTCGTCGCGCCCGCCCGCCGCCGCCGCGCCCGCTCCCGCGGCGGCGCGCGGTCACGCGTTGCCGCTCTCGCACACGGGCTTGCGCTGCAGCTTTGCGGGCGACGACGAGGCGGAGCTCGACCGCTTGATGGCCGGGGGAGTCGCCACGGCGAGCGACGACTTCGACTTTCTCGACGCCGATGACCCGCTGCGGCCCCTCTCCCCCGACACCGCCGCGATGCTCGGCCTGCAGCCTGGCTGCGGCCTGCTCGAGGCCACCGCCCCCCTCCTCCCGTCCCGTCCCTGTCCGCCTACACCTTGACTTTTATCTCCCACAGGCTGTCGAGAAGCTCGCCGGTGGTGCGTCGGGGTACAGCGCCGCTGCTCCGGCCCCGCCGCCGACCAACGCGCCGCCCGCACCGATCCCTCGCCCCACGGCCGAGGCTCGCTGCTAGAGAGTGCCCCCCGGGGGGCGCGGTTGCGGCGGGAGGCTGGCGACAGCACGAGGGGCGCCGACATAACCGAGGACGTGCAGCGGTGGCTCGGAGCGTTAGCGCTCTGAGCCACGGCCTGCTGCGGCCTGTGGCCGGCTCGATTCCGGCACGGGGCCCGCAGCGCTGTCACGTGTCAGTCCTCTCTCTCTTCTGCTCACCTATTCACAGCGGTATCACGCTGCATGTGAGGCGGGTCCCCGCGCAGACAAACTCCGATCTCCCTCTCTTAAAATACGCGCGCTCGAACCTCGCGGAAAATAGCAGAGCCCTCTCGCCCCTGCCTCGAGAGGGAAGATAGGAAGCGAACATGATAAATGTGAGTTGGGTGGCTCTCAAAACCTTTTCTTTTTGCATGTTGGGAGATCAGCCGCCAAAGTGTGGTGAGACCTCGATCACCTTGAAGTTTCGGCCCTTGAAGTTCTTGGACAACGACCTGCCAGTGGGCTTTACGAAGGTGAGCGGTGGGCGGTAGAGCACCTCTCCTCCTCATCGGGAAAAGCAGAAAGGAACTGGATCGATGCCCCACGCTGCATGAACGTGTCGGTGCGGATCTTGAAGATCAGCGAGGTTGAGGCGTCAGAGTACGCGATGGCCACCTCCAACTTGGTTGTCGTCGACATTGGGGCGAGCTCAGTGCCCCCTTGCAGCATGAAATCCTTGGTTTCTTTGAGGCCGCGCATGCCGCGCCACAAGTCGAGGCGCGTCTCGCTCTTGCCCTCCTCTAGCGTGGGCCTAGCCGCGTCCTCTTCAGCCCCGACGGCGCGCAGCTTGGATATCGCGTCCCGCAGAAAGGCAATTGTGACCGGGAATGGGTGGGGGCGGCCGCGATTGGTGTCGCGCAGCGGGTTGTTGAGACCACGAAAGGCCCATGTGGTGTAGACGCGCAAGGCGATGACATGTTCCTCCTTTGAGATGTGCCGTGACAGAGCTTCGATGCGTCAGAAAGTCGGCGAGGCGCATGCCCTCACCGCTGAGTGAGCCGGTCCGCTGAGGGAGGGTGTAGAGGATGTAGAGTGTAGAGCGCTGTAGAGCTGTAGAGATGTAGAGCGCTCTGGAGCGCTGTAGAGCTGTAGAGCTCTACATCCGGCGCGTGACGATGTGAGTCGCCTGTAGAGCGATGTAGAGCGCGATTTTGTTGTACTGTCCAAGTCTAAAGTCTGCCCAGGTTGTCAGGGACACGATGCATCCCGGCGTGAACACGCCGATCTGACAAAATCCCGAGTGCCTACCGCACGCGCCGCGTCGCGGTGCGTGCGGTAGGCTTTGTTTGAAGTTAAAAGTCGAATCAGAGCGCCGTTGGCGCTGTCCCTCGTTTGCCTCCCACGGACCGCCCGTCCGGCACCGCTCCGGGACGCACGCCGGCGAAGCACAATCAAGCTGCTGTACGGCCCCGGCATCGCCTTCCCAGGCTTAGCTAGACTGAGAGATATTGTGGATATGATTGGTTTCTACAATATATACATTGACACTGAACCTCCCAGAGCTCGTCCCGGTCCGTCACGGCCATCCTCGGCCTCCGGAGGGCCCCCGGCCGCGGCGCGGTGCGGCGGCGTCACAAAGCCGACCACAGAGCACCGGGACGCGGTCGGGCGATCTGAGGCCCAACTAGGCGTATGCATTGCCCATCCAGGGCTATCACCTGGACCTATCAACAGGCGCCTGCGGCGCCGTGCTCAGGAGCTGCTGCTCCAACCTGTTCACACTTTCATAGTGGACAGTAGAGTTTGTTGTAGAGGCTCTACAGCCAAACCGCCGGGAAGGCAGTGACTCAAAGAGGTCGAGCCGCGCTAATGGGGTGTCTCCGAGCTTACTGGAGCTCTGATGGACGGCCCTGACTATCACTGACACACAGAGAGTCACTCCGACGGCACACAACACCCTATAACTGCGTCATGACCAGCCTGCCATGCGTCGCCGGTGCCGCATTCATCGCAGTGCTTCTTTAGCAGGCGGTGGACTGTCGTATGCGAGGACGGTCGCATTTGCGCGAGGCGAGGCGAGCATTGCTGCGCGTTGCATGCGCCATGACTCGCGCCAGCGCGTGCGGGAGCTCCTGGCTGAGCGTTGAGTCCCCAGGCGAGTTGCGCTGGCCACTATCGCTACGCCGAGCCGAGCTGACGCGCCGAGGCGCGCCGGCCAGTCGCAGCCGTGAGGCATGCCATAGCAGCAGAGGCACCTGCCACCCATTGGGCGGGCAGACAGAAGGCCAGGGCAGCACTGGCAAGTGCAACGCGCCTCATGTCGGAGAGCGACCGTGCCTCGTTCGGCGCTTGTAGAGCGCCTCTACATCGCTCTACAGGCGACTCACATCGTCACGCGGCGAATGTAGAGCTCTACAGCTCTACAGCACTCTACATCTCTACAGCTCTACAGCGCTCTACACTCTACATCCTCTACACCCTTCGTCCCTTCCTCAGCCGGTCCAGTCGCACACCATTCTCGTCGCAGTCGCGTGCGTGGGGCGAGTGGCAAAGAGCTTGGGCGACGAGCCCGCCGCCTCGTACATGACATAGTTGAGGCACTCGAGATAGACATCTGCTTCTTCGCCGCGGTAGCATTCAAACTCAGCACGGATGGCAGCCGTGCCCTTCGAGAGGCCGGCCGGCGTAGACGCGGTCCGGCGCCACTTTCATGTAGTGAAGGAAGCCATAAGCTGCGTCCTGCGGCTTGCCGCTGATGAGGTCGCGCACCTCTCCAGCGTATACTTCACGCTGCCTTTGACTTTGCCGCTCAGCGCGACCGTGAACACGCTCTTGAGGTCCAACGGCTCGTCATTGTCCTTGACGAAGACGTCGATGTCGTGCTCGTGGCTGATGTACATCCTGGACTTAGGTCGCCAGTACTTGCAGTACACGAAAAGTAGCAGCACGGCGAGACCCATCACGCCGGCAATCGGTCCAATGACTGCACCGATTGTGGCGCTTGCCTGCGATCCCACCTCCCAGTACGGAGGGTAGGCCGGAGGTGACGGCGGGGACGGTGGCGGAGACAAGGGTGATGGTGGCGGCGATGACGGCGGTGGAAAGGGAGGCGGCGTTGAAGGAGGGGGGGCTGAATGGAGGAGGTGAAGGTGGCGGCGATGGCGGTGATGGTGGCGACCTTGGCATCGGCGGAGAAGAGGGTGGGGACGGCCAGCATAGCAACCAGCCCCCCGAGGTCAGAACACCGGAGTAAAAAGCCATTCCGTTCCACCTGATTTTATCCCGTCGGCGGCGGATTCACACGACGCGACGCGAGAGAGACGTGTCGGTCTCGCGGTGTGTGGGGTGTAACTAGGCCGTTATTTATGTGCGCCAGCCAGTGTACATAGTTGTGCAAAAAAGAAACGTGGCTCTTCAGCCACAGCAGCTTCTGTACACCGCCAGCGTCCGCCGCACGAACGCGTCCAGCCCAAACTCTGCCGCGGCTCGCACGCCAACCTCTCCGCGCGCCAACCGCTCGGCGGACCCCATCCGGCTCGCCTCGCGGATCGCGGCGCCGAGGCCTACAGACGCCGCCGCGAGTGGTTGGGGGCCCGCGCCCCGGGCGGCGAGCCCGGCCCGGGCGGCGGGCGGAGCCCTGGGCGTCGCACGGCGCGACGAGGAAGAGCGGCCCCACCAGCAGCACGCCGCGCGGGAGGAGCGTCGGGGGAAGCCCGTGCTCCACGGCGGCGCGCAGCACGGCGGCGCCAACCTCCGAGGCGGCGCCGTGGTGGAAGGTTGCGCACAAGCGGCCGGCGGCGAGCGCCTCCACGACCACTCGCCCGAACGCCTCTGGCCGGCGGGACGGGACCGCGACCAGGTCGGCGGCGGCGTAGGCGGCGCTGAGGGCGCCGTGCGGACGCAACTCGAAGCGCAGCCGCCCCGGCCGCCTCGCGTTGGCTGCCCGCGCCGCCGCGTCCATCGCGTCGCGGAGCCGCCGCTCGTAGCACGAGCGCCACGCCGACGCGGAGGGGCCGAGCGGAGGCGGCTCTGCCGTGGCGGGCGAGAGACGCCCTCGGGCGAGCTGAGCCGGCCTCGCACCGATCAGGGCGACCTCGAGCGCCGGCACGCCGTCGCCCTCCGCCAGCGCGTGCGCCGCGGCGGAAGCGAGGAGGTCGTGGCCCTTGGACGGCGACAGCCTGCCCGGGAGCAGCACGCGGAAGCTTCCCGCCGTGGGAGCCGGAAGCGCGAGAGGCGGCTCTGGAGCGCCCTCGTCTCGCCGCGCCTCGCGTGCGCTCCGGACGCCGCGGTGGATGGCTTCGGCGTCCGCGCGCACCGCGCTGCCGAAGCTCGCCCGCACGGCGTCACGGAGCGCGGCGCTTGGGAAGATGAGTCCGTCGGCGGCCAGCAGCGCCGCATACCACAGCCGCTTGAGCGGGGAAGAGGTGTCGTAGTAACCGTGCCATGTGTAGACATACCGCACGCGTCGCAGGCCAAGCGTTCTGCACAGTCCGCGCGCGATCGCGGCGCTAACGCCGAGGGCTCGTGAGTGGGCGTGAAGCACGTCCACGCTGAGCCGGCGCGTCCACGCCGATATGACGAGAGGGTTGATTAGCAGCACGCTTAGCGGGTCACGACGTGCGAGCGTGGACCAGCGCTTCGCTGCAGTCCCGAGCGACGCTTCGAGAGGGCCGCCGGCACTGGCGACAGCCGAGGTGGCGGGCCGGGCGGCGCACAGGTCCAGCACGCCGCGCTCGACGCCGCCGACGTGCAGCGAGGGCAGTAGGTGCAGCACCAGCGGCTCGCTGGAGGCCATCGCAGCAGCTCACGCGGCAGAGTGAGCGGCAGCGAGAGGAGAGAGAGAGAGAGAGAGACACGCTCAGCGCCTACAACTGTACCCGGGTACCCACGCGAGAAAGAAACGCGGCGGTCAACGCTGGGGCTGGGTCGAGGACGAATGATCTTTTTTTTCATTTTTTTGTTTTTTCGAGGACGGATGGAGGCGACCCCTGCAGGATTTTGCAAAGAGCTGGGAAAGAGTCCCCACCTTGCTCCTTGCGGAACAAGCAAGCAAGCAAGGGTCTTGGGAGGATGCCATTCGGGGAAGGGGAGAAGGGGTGCGGGGCACACAGCGCGACACGGAGAGGGGGTGGGCAGGATCAACCACACAGGATCACCCACACAGGACAGTGGGAGAACAAAATGTCTTGAAAGGACGACGGGCAGCCGAATCTCATGCAAATTCGCGGGAAAATTCTTTTGGCGGCCTTGAAACGAACGAGAGAGACCTGCGGCCGGCGTCCGTCGCTCTCCACGCGCTGCTGGTGCGCAGCGTGCGCCGTTCTGCACTCGGGCACACCACCGCTCCACTCTCCGCTCTCCTCCAGCCGCACAGAGCCCAACCAGACCCCCCGACGGTCGGCGTTGAGCGTCGTTGAGCAGTGCCACGAGAGGCAGCAGCGTCTCGCCCGTGTGCCGCAGCCGCGTGTGAGTTGCGATGGGAGCCTCCCGACCGGCCTCCCGCGCACACTCGCACTTGGCAGCCTCGAGCCTCACCACGCCCGCTGCACACTGCCTCAGGCACCTTCGCTCCCGCCACCGCGCCGCCGCTCCAGTGCTCCTGCCACCGCCGCAGCCCTCCGCATCGCGTTTCCGCCACCCTTTGACCGAGGCCGTGCGCTAGGCCGGCGTGCAGCTACAGGTGCGCGGCGGCGCGCGGCGCACCACCGCCGCGCTCTCACTCCTCATCCCGGCCAGCTCTCCCCTCTTTCCGTCCCGCAGCTCCCCCGTCACCTCGCGATATCTCCCTCCCTCCCTCCCTCCCTCTCTCGGAGCCTCTCGGCAGGCCTCCGTCCCTCCGCCCCGCCCCTTCCTCCGCCGACCGCGCACTGCGCCATCCCCGCCGCCGTCGGCCTCACACCAGGTCTCATCGGCGCTCTCTGCCGTAGGTTGCGCGCCGCTGCAGGGCGGGCTGCGCGGCTCGTCGCTCGTGCGTCAGGCGCGGCCGCGGCGCTCTCGCCTCTGCCGAGGCGCGCTAGCTGCTCGTCTCGCCGCTCTCCCCCCTCTCTCGCACTCCCCTCCGCACTCTTCCCATTCGCGCCACGCCGCGGCGTCGCCACCGCACCGCCCTCTCTCGCCCTCACTGCGCGCTCCTCACCTCGCGATATCTCCCTCCCTCCCTCCCTCCCTCTCTCGGAGCCTCTCGGCAGGCCTCTGTCCCTCCGCCCCGCCCCTTCCTCCGCCGACCGCGCACCGCGCCATCCCCGCCGCCGTCGGCCTCACACCAGGTCTCATCGGCGCTCTCTGCCGTAGGTTGCGCGCCGCTGCAGGGCGGGCTGCGCGGCTCGTCGCTCGTGGGTGAGGCGCGGCCGCGGCGCTCTCGCTTCTGCTGAGGCGCGCTAGCTGCTCGCCTCGCCGATCTCCCCCCTCTGTCGCACCTCTCTCCGCACTCCTCGGCGGCAGCCCCGCAGGCTCGGGTCGCTGCAACCTCGAGTCGGGTTGGAGCGGATGGGCGGCGCGGGGGCCAGCGTCGGCGGCGCCGCCCCGCCGCCGCCTCGACTCCTCCTCCTCCTCCGTCGCTGTCTACATCTTTCGACGGCATGCGCCGCCTCGCAGGGCGCGTCCAGAGCAGCTCGGGCGGCGCTGCTGCGGCGGGGGCGGATGGCGCGGTCGCCGCGCCGCTCATCGGTGAGCCGGCGCTCCCGCGCGGCGCTCCGGTGGCCGGCGGCGTGTTTCGCCGCTGCGGAGGGCGTTGTCGTCGCGAGGGGCGGGCCCACGGCGGCGGAGGCGCTGCGCTGACGGCCGCTGACGGCGGCGGTGAGGGCCCAAGCGCCGGCCGAAGAAGCGTTGCCGCGATTGCCGTGGCGTGCCGCCTGGCGGGCCCGGCGAGCGGTCCCCGCCGGTCGGGGCTGCCAGCGCTGCACGGTGCGAGCCGCAACTCCCGCCCCCCGCCACCTCTCGCCCCTCCCCCAGCCCTCTCCCTCGGCCCCGCCTCTCGCCCCGCCCGGGACTCTCCCCACGCCGCCTCTCCGCCACCCGCCAGCCATCCCCGCCCCCGCCACCTCGGCCCTAGCGCACACGCACCCGCACGCGTCCCTGCCGCAGACTGGCGCGGCGACAAGGCGATCGAGGCCGAGCATATGCGCTGGAGGCGACGGCCTCGACTTGCGCGCGATCGGCGCCTCGCTCCTCTCGGCTCGGCAACGATACGCGGCGCGCCAGCGTCGGCCCGCTCAAGGCTGCCCCGCACACACCCCTCTCGCCGTCGCCTCCTCCCTCCTTCCCCCACCCTCCCCCTCCGCCCCCCTCCCCCTCTCCCGCGGGGCGCGGCGCCCCCCCTCATCCCGCAGCCCTCGCGCCCCTCTCCTCTCCGCGCGGTCACCGTCACCGCCACCGTCACCGTCACCGTCTCACCGTCTCGCCTCTCCCCCTGCCCCTCTCGCCGCAGGCCGCTGCACGGCGCTCGCCAGCGGCGCCGCGACGCGAGCGCTCTCGCCCCTCCCCCCCCTCCACCACCGCTAGGGCCGACGGACGCCCCGCGCCTGCGTCCATCCCCCGCCGCCATGAGCCGAGGCTCATGGCGGCGCCTCGAGAGAGCCGCCGCGCGGCGCGGTCGCCGGTCCGGCGCAGAGACCGGGCGCCGGTCTCCGGAGCCGGGGGGCCGCCGTGGGGCGAGGAGGGCGGAGGGGCGCGGCGGGGCCCGCCCAGCGGTGGGAGGGGCCGCGGCGGGGGCGTCCCGGTCCCGTGCACCGAGGCGGGGCGGCGGGGTGTGGTGCGGCGAGGTCGGTGTGCCGTCCGCCCCGGTCCCGGACCCGTCTCCCGGCTCCACGGGGCCCAAGTCGCTTCGTTTCGGGTGTGTTTGGCTTTGTTTGCAGTCGGTGTGCGCGTTTCCTAGTCAAAACGTCGCATTCGGTTCGCATTTGCATCCCCAGTCCCATTCCATTCGGCTTCGGGGCGAATCGGTATGACTGGGGCCGCAGTTTCCCCAGTGTGTCCGCGCCTCGGCTCGGTAATGGTCTCACCCAATCAAAGCGGCGCCCTCCGGCGTACCACTTAGAGGAATACGCATTTCTGCGGCGAATACAAACGCGAGTACGCGCACCGGCGCGGACACACTGGGACTTGTCTGGCGGTGCTGCCCGCGCGGTCGGTACCGCCCTCTCGGCCACCCAAGCAGGCGGATAGGTGAGGAGACGCGCAGAACGGCGGCCGCGAGGCAGCCGGCGCGGTGCTCCCTCGGCGCGGTTCGCCGGAGCAGACTTTTGCTTCCGGTTTGAGCCGCGGCCCGGTAGGTTGACTGAGCGGCTGGTGCGTGTGAGGCGGTGCTGGGCGGGGTTGGGTCGCCACTGCGCGATCCGGCCCCAGTCTCGGTTACGTAGACGCCTAGTCAGCACGTGCCGCCGCGGGGACTCACCCTCCCCCGACGCAAAAGCTCCCTCGCTGTGCCCCTCCGGACCGGACGGGGCCGCCTGGGCAGCGGCTGTGTGTGAGAAGCAGATGGTTTCCCGATGGGCAGACGCCTCGTGCGCCTCACCCCGCAGCGCGGCTGGCTCGCAGCTTGGAGGTCTCCTCTGGGCGCGGGTCGGCTGGCTGCACTGTCGGTGGCGGTGGCGCCTCGACTGGCCCCGCGTAACAAGGCCCTGGCAGGCTCAGCGGTGCAGCCCTCCCCTTTCGGAGCGGCTCCCGCCCTGCTGTGGAGCTGCGGCGTGTCGGTTGTGATGCGCTTCTAGCCACCGAGCGGTCGTGCGAATCCTTGAGTGGAGGCGCGATGCGCGGCGCCCCGCGAGGCCGCCCGTACTGGGCCGGCCCGCGGCTTGGCGCTGCGCGAGGGCTGCGGCTCTGACTAGAGCTGCGCTCCGTAAGATGATTACGACACGTGTCCTTGGCTTTGTTGGCCTTGGAGTGAGCACTGTCGGTCAGACTCTGGGCGGCCGCGCGCGGTGGTCTCTTGTCCCCTCCGGAGACGGAGGGCTCTGACTCGGACCGCGCGCGCTGGCCTGCCCCTGTCTGGTCCGGGACTTCCGTTGTGGGAGGGGGTCTGGTCTCCGACTAGGCTCCCTCCCCGCGGGTTGTCTGCGGGCTACCTGGTTGATCCTGCCAGTAGTCATATGCTTGTCTCAAAGATTAAGCCATGCATGTCTAAGTATAAGCGACTATACTGTGAAACTGCGAATGGCTCATTAAATCAGTTATGGTTTATTTGATGGTACCTTGCTACTTGGATAACCGTAGTAATTCTAGAGCTAATACATGCAGGAGTTCCCGACTCACGGAGGGATGTATTTATTAGATAAGAAACCAAACCGGTCTCCGGTTGCGTGCTGAGTCATAATAACTGCTCGAATCGCACGGCTCTACGCCGGCGATGGTTCATTCAAATTTCTGCCCTATCAGCTTTCGATGGTAGGATAGAGGCCTACCATGGCGTTAACGGGTAACGGAGAATTAGGGTTCGATTCCGGAGAGGGAGCCTGAGAAATGGCTACCACATCCAAGGAAGGCAGCAGGCGCGTAAATTGCCCGAATCCTGACACAGGGAGGTAGTGACAAGAAATAACAATACAGGGCTATTTTAGTCTTGTAATTGGAATGAGTACAATTTACATCTCTTCACGAGGATCAATTGGAGGGCAAGTCTGGTGCCAGCAGCCGCGGTAATTCCAGCTCCAATAGCGTATATTAAAGTTGTTGCAGTTAAAACGCTCGTAGTCGGATTTCGGGGCGGGCCGACCGGTCTGCCGATGGGTATGCACTGGCCGGCGCGTCCTTCCACCCGGAGACCGCGCCTACTCTTAACTGAGCGGGCGCGGGAGACGG